TATCGCAATGGTTCATAGTGTACTAATGGTTCATTGTCGGACTACCTATCCTATATTATAAAATATCTGGATTAACCTTTTTTCTTTATAAAACTTTGGAGAAAAATAGGTCTCACATAATATTGTATAAATTTTTATCATTACTGTTATTCTAAAATATAAAGAACAATCAGAATGTAATATTAAAAGTACTAAGCAGTTATTATTGGAGCGTTTCTATTTTTTACATTAATATATGTATATTTCTTGTGTGTAAAAGATAAGATTCTAAAATTTTTATATTCTTTAATAATTTTTAATAAAATATTTGGTTTTTAATCACTTTCTTTATTTTCAGAGTAATATATTTATTTCAAAAATAAATTTGTTTTATAGAGCTCTCATATTCAATCAATATTAGAAAATAATAAAGCCGGGCAAATGAAAGAGTTAATAACGCGATTATTGTTTGTGTATATCAATTGACAATTTTTAGCATTATATAATTTTCGCTGAAGATGCTTGTAATGGAATGGAGGTGCGTTTTCTTAATAAAACCGCTAAGTTTGTCAAGTTCAACTGATAACATAATACAGCTATTTATTATGAAAATAAATTGCATTCAGAACTTATCAGCCATAAAACTGATTAAGAAGAGGCTCATACAATGTAATAGAGAATTACTCAAGGTTTATTGAAATGCGCCTACATTTGAAAAAATAGAACTCAATTTGTAATTTTTATATATTTTTTAATATTTATTTCATTATTTTGCCGAAACGTCGATGCTATATTAAGAATAAATAAGAATCGATATAGTAATAATATACACAAACAATTACTGTGTTATTAGCTCTTATTGGCCCGGTTTTATTTTAATATTATTTTATATCTATTTCATTCTTTTGTGAATAAGACACTTCTAGGGTTAATGCAATAGGAAAACTGCAACGTCTCACTTAGCTTCGCTTAAGCGTAGCAAGATCAGTTTAGTAATGTACCAGGAGAGAATTTCCAGACTTCGGCCCGAGGTTTCGATTTCCCGGGTGAAATACACAAATTGAAATGATCTCGGCTCGGGGCGAACCAATATAACAGTTATCCTCGAGCGACATGGTCCCCACGCGTCGCGACATTCGTGGCGATAAATCGACAACATCAGGGCATCGTTTTACCTGTACAGCCGGATCATTTGTCTTCGAGGAAGGGAACGGATGTAAAGGTAATATGAGAAGTGCGCAGCCTACGGGGAATTCTCTAACGCTTAGACTTAGATGACTCGGCTCGGAAATCTTAAACCCGACCAGGTTTTGAACCCTTGTACCCGCTTATCACCTCGTAATGTCACTTCACTTCACCGACGTATGCGAAAAAAGCGTGGTCCTCTGATCTACGATATATAAACGGTGTAGATTTCTAATTCGAACATTGGATTTGATACAATAAACAAAATTGAGCAAACCCCAACAAACAAACTGACTACTTGTCAGTTTTGACGTCACATCAGACGTCATTTTGAAGTCACTTGACGTCAAATCTGTGTCTTTATATTTGTTTCTGTTTTTATATTTTCAAAAATGTATAAGCTGTTAAAATATACTTTACTCCTTTTTACATCTTTCAGAACACATTCATAAAATGTCGTAACAATAAAAATACTTTTTTTTATGAAATTTTTAAAATATTCCCAGAGAATTAAATTTTCGAGTAAATTAGTAAACATATTTTATCTTTTACCATTAAAATTATATATTACAATTTAATGATTTAGCTTGTAATATACTGCCATCATTAAAATCTCTCTCTACAAATTATTCTCATCAACAAAAATTTAAAACTCATTTCTCACGAGATATTCGATCCCTTATTTCCGTTGAGCCTCTCCACCGCTCCTGCATCACTATCCTTTCTTTTTGCATTTTTCTGTCGACGCACGAGTGATCGTGCCGTCATTGCGAGGGAATGCATACATCGGGGGGCCCTGGGGGGAGCCGTATTTTATTTCTGTATCGCGACCTGACAGAGACGAGCAAACACGTGCTGCACCCAAAACCTTGGCCCGAATCGCTAGTTATTCAGCCGACAGCGGATTTGCTTAACGAAATTCGCTAAATTCACTTGTGGGATTGCTCGGCCGACTTTTCGTGAAATCTATACTCGTAACGCTTCTCGAGCCTCGTAATTGATTCACAGATAATAATATAGTAAGAAGTTAATTTCAATTCTAGCTAGCATTCATCAATTTCAAATATATGAGAACGCTGGGACATTTGAAAAAAAAAATCAGAACTATTTCAGTATATTATTTACACAAAAAACAATATTCCTCATATAATTGCCTGAGTAAAAGTATAAAAATTTGTAAATATATAACCTCGAAAATAAACCCCTATTAAGCTGGATCTTCCATCATCAAAAATCAAATTCGCGATAGGTCAAAAATTTAGTGCTCTTTATTTGCTAATTACTTGTTAAAAAAAAAATTTGCTCCGGCGGTTTAGCTGCTATAAAAAAAATGGGAGAGTCCAGCTTTATATTAACCTGGATTATATTATATTAACCCCCATTTTTTTTATATCGGCTAAACCGCCGGAGTAAAAAAAATTTTTTTAAGCAAATACAGAGCACTAAATTTTTGACCTATCGCGAATTTGATTTTTGAAGGGGGGGGGGGGTCCAGCTTAATAGAGGTCGAAAATAACTTACCCAGAATGACCGTCGATGATTCACGGCGTGGATGGGAAACAGCCGATAGGGCGATGAAATTAAATTTGACGAGATTTAACAAAAGACGCTTCTTTATTATTATCCTCTCTCGATAACAAGTGACTAGCACTTCGAATACAGCGATCGACATCTGCCTGGAATCGAATTACGCACTCTCTCACTCACACACATTCACATACGTACATTTCAGAGGGACGCTAATTTTAAGTGGAATGTATCATTAAAAAAAGGGACCTAACTTCATCGAATGGTACAATATAATATGCTCTTTGCTTTTCGTTTCTTGCTTTACACCTCTTGCCTTTTTCCCTCTTTGCAACTTTACTGATCGTATTTCTCGTTTCTTTCGAAGTTCGCCAATTTTTATATTAGTCGACAGAAAACGAAGAAATAGCATAAAAGACAAAAAGACAAGAAGTTAAAAGTGATAAAAAGCAAGAAACAGGAAGCAAAAAGCATATTGTAGCTTTAAACGCCCGTATTTTACGGTCTTTTTTCTGCTAAAAAGGGATCAATATACCGCTCGTTAACTCCATTTTCTTAAACGTAATGTAAATAGAGTCGCTTTTTTTTTTCTTCATTAACACTCGCATCAAAAAGTCAGCGGTCGGCGAAAAAGTATAATGGACTTTACATCGTCCGGAAGGCACTCTCGAAGTGTTTATGAACTACAAACCTCAAAAGTCGATCATAATCTCTATGCTTATCGTAAAAAAAAAAAAATGATTTACAAAACATCGCACGTGATTGAGGAGCTTAGCAAAAAAGGCAAACAATCAACATTTTTTTACGATAGAGTAGACGATAATCAATCTATCATTACTGACGAATGCAGCACAGCAATCATTCACAAACGATCGTTAATATTTTTTTAATCCATTAATCATGGTGGTAGTAATAAGGTGTGCACGTGCGCATTTTTGCTGGCCAATGACAGAACGTGACTCAATTCGCCATTTTGAATAATTTCTAACGGGAGAGATTTTCAAACAAAGAATTACAAAACGCTAAAATGCTCATTTTAGGATTAGCTTAGGAGTTAAATTTAGTGTAGACAGTAATAAAACTTGTCGTTTAATTTAATCGACATGCAACGATGTATGAATAACTACATTATTACTCTCTTCTTTTATTATCCCTGATTTATTTAATCTATTCCACTCGACGTAGTACAGCGATGTGTCGGTTTTTTTAAAAGATGTACAAGTTATGATTCGTCAATTTAATTAATTAATAAACTTTCTTTTTAAAACTTTTCGTTAACATTGACAGATAACCGACAGTCGTGTCGGTGTGTGTGTTTTGTGTGTGTGTGTGTGTGTGTGTGTGTGTGTGTGTGTGTGTGTGTGTGTGTG